CGCCCAGGCTGGAGTGCAATAGCACGATCTTGGCTCACTTCAATCTCCACCTCCCAGGTTCAAGTGATTCTCCTGCCTCAGCCTCCCAAGTAGCTGGGATTACAGGCATCTGCCACCACCTCCAGCTAAGTTTTGTCTTTTTAGTAGAGACGGAGTTTCACTAGGCTAATTGGCCAGGCTGGTCTCAAACTCATGACCTCAGGTGATCCACCTGCCTCAGCCTTTCAAAGTGCTGGGATTACAAGCACAAGCCACTGCGCCCAGCAGATTTTAATCTTATATTGCTATTCCTGTTTAAAAATGTGTCTGTCATCTGAACTCAACTGTGGGGTTCCATAAGCCTAGATTAATGTCCATTTTTGTGTGTGCTGGTCATTCATATTTAACTTCGAACAAATGCATTATATATAATAAATACTATGGTAAAAAGGGTCATTTAAATAATTTTTAAATGTTATCTACAAAGACTTTTTAGTAACACAGAAAATATGTATTTAATTTTATTACATGAGAAAAGCAACATGCAAACATGCATAAGCAATGCTATCTCAACTATTATAACTACACATGATAAAGCGCTTGGTGAAAACGTAAAACATAAAACATACAGGTTAATAAACAGGGCTAGAAAGGCATGGAACCTCATTCAGATTTAGTGACTGCATCTTCATTATTTCCTGCAATCATTTTCTTATTAACAAATTAGTGAAAGTGACAAACACTCAAAATCCAGAATATAGTATGTGGACCCCCTACCATGTAGGTCCCAAAACGAGCCACCAGGGTGCCTGAAAAAAATATTGTGATATTTACTGAAATTTATTTTTATGTTAAAAATAGGCAAAAAAAGTAAGCTTCCCTAAGAGCAAAAGACCCTTTGAATCATTAACATAAATGAACACATACACATCTCTGAAGTCTCAATTTAAAAGAAAAAAATACTGTATTGTAAATGCACCACTGAAGAAGAATGATGTTTCCAATATTTCCTGCAGAGGAGTACAGGTGCTCGCCAGGGTCTTAGAGAAAGTGGATCCTAATATCTTGAGACAAGCGGCATGGTTAAGCTCACTGGCCCTGAGGCCCACAGCTCTGGGTGGACCACCACCTACCCACTGGCTGTGTGCCCCTGGATAACTTACTTCACCCCTTTCCATCTCAGTTTGTTCCACTGTAAAAGTTGCTTTACTAACTGAGACAAAGCACAAAAAAAGTTTCGATTGTTGCCCTGCAAATAGTAATATCTCAGTTAACATAGTAGCTATTGTCCTTTGAAAGGGAACTTAAGATCCTGGAAGGTTCAAGGGCAATTATTTTGCAGCTATTTCAGAATAAGACTTGAGCAGACAGAATTTATGAACTGACTGAAGAGGGAGACACTGGGATAAAAAACGGAAAGACATCTTCAGGAGGGGGAGAGTTCCAGCTAGAGGAATCACAATGGCCTAACTCCTCTCTCTGCACTTCCTGTCTTTCAGGCCACTCCAAATGTGGGTCTTCAAACTACATAGATCAGAAGTCACTCAACCTAGCGCAAATTAAAGGGGATTACCACAAGAATACGTAGTGTAGTAGGTGGCTCTTACATCGCTATAAAGAAATATCTGAGGCCGGGCGCGGTGGCTCACGCCTGTAATCCCAGCACTTTGAGAGGCCGAGGCGGGTGGATCACGAGGTCAAGAGATCGAGACCATCCTGGTCAACACGGTGAAACCCCGTCTCTACTAAAAATACAAAAAATTAGCTGGGCATGGTGGCGCGTGCCTGTAATCCCAGCTACTCAGGAGGCTGAGGCAGGAGAATTGCCTGAACCCAGGAGGCGGAGGTTGCGGTGAGCCGAGATTGCGCCATTGCACTCCAGCCTGGGTAACAAGAGCGAAACTCCGTCTCAAAAAAAAAAAAAAAAAGAAATATCTGAGACTGAGTAAATCATAAGAAAAGAGGTTTAATTGGCTCACGGTTGTGCAGGATGTACAAGAAACATAATGCTGACATCTGCTTCTGGGGAGGGCCTCAGGAAGCTTTTACTCACAGGCAAAGTGAAATAAGAGCTTTCAAGTAACATGGCGAAAGAGAGAGAGAGGGGTGGGGAGGTGCCATATACAAAAAAATGACCAGATCTCACTCACTACTGTAAGGAAAGCACCAAGGGAATGGTGTCAAACCATTCATGAGAAACCCACCTCCATGATCCAACCACGTCCCACGAGACCCCACCTCCAACACTGGCGATTACAATTCTGCATGAGATTCAGAGGGAACACAGATGCAGACGATATCGCAGAGGTATCAGGGGTCCAAGAGAGGCATAGCTGAGCACCCAGCAAGGGAGAACTGAACAGGTTAGGAACTGAGGCTACTGTAAACAACTCTTTCCCTCTCCCTCCTCTTTCCCCACTCCACTCACTTCCTCTGCTTACTTATTTTGAACCAGACCCACCTAAAACACAAGCCTTGAGCTGAGCGGCCATCACCAATGAGCAGAGGCGTCTCAGCCTCTTACTTCAGATTCTTACAAGAAGAAATCTGATTGGCTCAGTTCCTCTGAAGGAACCAGGGCCACTTAAGTCCAGCCTAGTCCAGGGTCCCATAGAGCAGGTGTATACTTCTGGTCTGATTAGTGTTGCCTGCCCCTCCCAGTTTTTCTAGAGTGTAGGCTGGCAAACAAGGAAGCTTGTCTCTTGCAGAGATGTGGGGTGTATCTTTGCCCAGGGCTTCACCATGAACAAGGCTGTGGTGCTCATGCCACTGACTTACGAGGTCTGACCCTGAACTCTGGGAGATATCAGGAATGTCTAAGGACTTGAGGGCTGACATTGAATCAGTCCATGTCCTTAAATCTTGTGAAAGGAAATCTGCTTGTTTTATATTCCCTCATGGACTTCAGGGCTTTGTTTAACAAATATTACAAACCTTTCCTGCTCTGCTGGAATTAAACAGCTTAAAATGTATGCTTTTAGCTACTTAATTTTTTTGCTTCTTTTGCCAGTGAGACTGTAACATTCTTGAAGGGAGAATTTCAGGTGTGGACAAGATCTTAGAGATCATCGAGGCCAACCTTCTCATTTTACTGGTGTGGAAACTGAGGCCCAGAGAGAGGAAACGTCACAGAGCAGGAGAGGGGCAGGTGGGACCCAGGACCCGTTTCACACACTGTGTTCCCAGGGTGCCCTGCCACGCCTTAGGCATAGCATGCTCCCAATAAATATTTATTGCTTTACTTCATATTTCGCTTTTGCTTTTCTCGCTCATCGTTCTCACATCCCTTCTCCACCACTGACTTCAACCTTAGGGGATCACTTTGCATGTGCCTTTCAGGTGTTGGTCTTTGGGGTTGTGCGGTGGAAGGTGAGATGAGGCATGGGTGAAATTTCACCTGATTCTATCAAGCCATTATCTCTCCAGGCCAACACCACGGTAACAGAGTGTAGACACTAGACTGGGAACTTCCTTCCTTCTGCGGGGTCAGTGGCCTCCAAACTGCACGATGAAGCCACTCTCTAGATCCCACTGAAAGTCACTAGTTCTGCAATACCTCCCGGGCCAACACCGAGTAACAGGAATTTCAGTCACTGCTGACCTTCTCCTAGTGGGAAGTCACACGTGGATGTAGCCTTACCTTCCTCCCAGAAGCCTTCTCTGACTGGGAACTCTTAGTTCATTTGACATCACTCTCACACACTGGGGCACATCATTCATTTTCCTGTTATCTGCTGGGCATCAGCCTGGTCTCAGCTCCTGAAGGTGAGTAGCTTCTCTCCCCCCAGCACCTTGGTGGGCTCCCACCAGGCCTTCAGTCAATGTGTGGACTGACCAGTAACTTTTCCCTGGAATGGCTATGGGGGTGGGTGGAGAGAAGTCTTGGGAAGAAAGGAGAACTAGTGTTTTTTGCTACTGTCTTAGGCAAGTGTGAATGAGGAAAAGCAACTCCTTAAAAAGGGAAACATTCTGACTTTTCATTCCTAGGTAGACAGGGGCAACTACTCCTCTTGGCCACTCAAAATCTGTCACAATTAAACCAATGCCAGTGTCATTTGCTTCAGGAATCTCCAGTTCCTTCACTCCATACCCAGCAGCTCTTCTAACCCAAGCCTGCAGGTTGGGCATAAAATCAGTCCCAGAGCAGAGAAGGAACAACAGACGATGGGCCACCTAAGCTCCAGGCCCCCTACCTGGGGAACTCTGGTCTGAGGGATCTACAAGGCCTTCCTCCCAAAGATCTCCATTCCAGCCTGAAACGCCCATCATCAGAGGCCACTGAAGAAAGCTCTCAATAAGAAGACAAAAGTGTCATCGGCAGGCACAGTGGCTGATGCCTATAATCCCAGCACTCTGGGAGGCTGAGGTGGGCAGATCACGAAATCAGGAGATGGAGACCATCCTGGCTAACACAATGAAACCCATCTCTACTAAAAATAGAAAAATTAGCCGGGTGTGGTGGCACATGCCTGTAGTCCCAGCTACTCAGAAGGCTGAGGCAGGAGAATCACTTGAACCCAGGAGGCGGAGGTTGCAGTGAGCCAAGATCGCGACACTGCACTCGAGCCTGGGCGACAAGACTGAGACTCCATCTAAAAAAAAAAAAAAAAAGATGACAAAAGTGTCAGAGTTAGAGGAATCAGAAAAATGTCTTATATATTAACGAAGGTTTATTAGACTGGAGGGGTAGAGCAGAGAGCCAGGCACTGAGGATGTGGGAAACAGGAGGGAAGCTTGGGTGGGCAGGGAGCAGCAATGCAAGGCCCCAGGCACTGCCCAGAGAAGGCTGTGTTAGGTGGGGCAGCAGGGGAGGGAGGGGATGAGCATGAAGAACTGCGGCAGATGTGGGTCAAGAGAGCTAGGCCAGGAGCAGCTGAAGGTTAGAATTGGGTCCAGGTTCCTTGAAGACAAATCTGATTTCACAGATTAAGATGCATCACCCTCAGGAATCCTTCCTGCACTGCTAATTCTGCTGGTGTGAGTCCATGGAAAGAAAAATTCAGAGATCATTTTTGAGGGCCAGAAAGACTCTGGACAAGAAAGGCATCAACCATCTTTGAGCCCTTTCCACGTGACACAGCCAGTATCAACCCATGATCACCACTGGTTCTCACAAGTCCAAGAAAAGTTGTTGAGTACACGGCCAAGGTCAACCCTTATGAATGTTAAGTAAACTGCCTAAGGTCACAGAGCCAGGACATACCACGCCTGGGATTCAAACCCAGAGGTCAAACTGATGCCAGAACCTGTGGTTCCTACTGCCCCCTCACCCTAGGTGCACACCCCAAACAGAGGTGTCTGCTCTCTGTGGAAGCTCAAATTCCACAGGTTGCTCAGTTTCCAGCCTCTCTTCACCTCTGAGGGTATGATCTAAAGGAAAAGCAAAGCCAACACCCAGACAATTTTATTCTTAATTCCTTTGTAGGTGGCTTGCCTGTCACACAATATGTAAAAACTAACAATGACAACAAGGTAAGTAAATGGAAATTTGCTGAATGCATAGATTCCAGTTCTATTATTTAATATTTTGTAAAGTCAGGAAATTGTCCAGATGTTAAAGCATATGAATAACTCACTGCTGAGCCAATGAGGCATAAATGCTAAGAGGGACAAACCAACGGGAAGAGTCAGGTGTGCTGAAACCTCTTCCTTTGGAGTGGAGGACAGGGGCCTACCACCCAGACAACTGGCTTCCGGTACCCACTCTGTACAGAATCATGGCTGGACATGAGGTGCTTAACCCTCTGAGCCTGCTGCTTCTGTCCAGAAGGGAGTCAATGACAGCTACCATGCTCTTTGGTACAAGAATCAAATGAGTTTTTTGACAGGATGTGAATGTCTATGGTGTTTTGTGCCTCAAACCCAGGAGACAAGTTCTCAACACAAAACAAAATCCCACCCATTCTTCAAGGCCCATGCCACTCTCCATAGCTAAGTTTTAAAATTTTTTGTAGAGAAGGGGACTTGCTATGTTGCCCAGGCTGGTCTTGAGCCCCTCAGGCTCCAAAAGTGCTGTGATTATAGGCCTGGGACCTTTCGAATTAGCTCTCTTCTCTCATCTGGAGCCTTTGTACCCTGTAGCTTTAATCAGATGCCTATCCGTTCCTTTACCTTTGTTAAAAATCTTAGAAATTCTTTGCTCAAGTATCACTTCCTCCAGGAAGTCTTCCTGACCCTCTCCCTCACTCCACCCCACACTCTTCATCCAGGTTGGCTGCTCCAGGTTGTGGGGTGGGGGAGTTTCACAGTGCTTTGTGTATAGTACACTCATTGACTGTGGTCCCTATGCTGGACTGAGCTCCTTGAGCACACAGACTTTGGATCTTACCTGTCTTGGCATTCCTAGATGTAGCTGGTCTGCGGAAAGCACTTACCAAATGTGAATATAAACTAATAAATAAATGGGTTTCTGCAGCAGTTTATACCGCATCATACAGCTCCTCTAATGAGCCGCTAGCCCCCTTCCTTGTTGGGGCATACAGTATCTTATTCAATATTTCTCCTGAAGGCCTCTCTGTGCCAAGCTCAGTTTTAACCAAAACACTGGTGATCTGGTTAAGTGATTACTGAATTATCCACTACGTTGAATTCTCCCAACTACCCTGTCCCAGCCTTTAGCTTGGCCGAAGGAAAATTAATTGGTTGCAAAGTGCATATCTAATTATAACATCCAGCCCCTGACACAGAGATGCCCAAATGTTAATTATAACATATGCATCTCAATAACCGACGGTGGCATTTAGTGCAGCATTAATCACGCCACTTGGGCCCCCCAGTATATATACAAAGCTCCTTTTTATCTGCCATTAGCACAGACTGCACTTTCAGCACGGAAGTTCTCATCCTTAAAGCCTTTCTGACTAAAACCAACCGTTTCCCTGTAAGCCTGGACTTCGCCTAAGCCCCCGGTCTCCTACCGCAGAAGCCCCCACCTAGGGCTGCGCCAGTGCCGTGGAGTCGCTGGGCGGCGGGTTTTGGCGTCGCTAGACTGGGCTGTCTTGGCAGCTAAGGCGACATCCCGAGCGTCCCGGGGCCACCCCACTCTCCAGGGCCCGCCATCCTGGAAAAGAAAGGCGAACTACATTACCCAGCAGGCCTCCCGCCGCCCTCTTTCCTTTCAAGTCTTTGCACGTGGCCGGAGGGGCGGGCGGGGCCTGGACGTCACTCTCCTACATTCTCTTTCCCTGTGTCAGATCAGGGATCATTTTTTTTCCTTCCTCTACTCCCTCCCCCCTACCCGCCCCTCCCTCCCTGTTTCCCTTCCCTCCCTCCCTCCCCTTTCTGCTGGGTCTGTGCGCCGGGGTGCCGGATCCCCTCCGCAGCTGGGACGCTCCGAACTCGAGGCAGGAGTCGGCCCCCCAGAGCCTCGTCCCTCCCTTCCCCTTCCCTGCCCCCTTCCCCCACCCCCGACTCGGGCTTGGCGCGGCGGCCAGAGGAACCCCGAGGTGAGCATCCCGTCGCCCGCCCTCCTCTTCTAGTCATCTCAGCTTGCTGATCGATTCGGGGACAGGGGAGGAGGGCTGCGTGACGTGCGCGTGCTTACAGATAAATCCGGGAAAACCGCCCCAAACAATCAGCCCCCTTCCCCCTCCCTGCGCCTGGGCCAGCGGGTTGTCCGCACCCATCCACCATCTCGTCCTCCCCCTCGGTGGGGAACTGCACTCCACTGTCTCGCCCCCTCCCTGGGTTTGTCCCATTGCCTGCGGGGTTCTCTGCCCCGCGGGGTGCCGTGGCCCTGGTGCTCCGGCGACAAGGGGGGGGGTCTTGGGGGGCGTACGGCTGGAGCCTGACTCGCTTTGGAGCTGCGCGGTGTAGCCGCTGTCATGTGCCGGGTTCCGACCCGGGGGGAGGAAGGGAGCGAGCGCGATTCCTCTCCCTTTTGTTTTGAAGCCCGCATTTGCTGCGTCGAGCAGTTGGTTTAGTATCAGCCAAACTTGCAGCTGTTCAGACCGCGCTCCGCCGAGGTAGGGAGCGCGTTTCGGGGTGGCGTCTCGGGGCCGGGGGCTGCGGCACTCGGGTCTGCGGGAGGGACCCCGAGAGTGTGTCTCCACGCCGCCCCTCCCTCCCCCGGTGACTGATTGTGTCTGTGGCAGCGGGCGTGTGTGAGTGTGCGCGCCCGTCCCCGCGAGCTCGGGGATGTCTGTGGATGGCTGTCGTCTAGACAGGGCGCAGCCCCCTCCCTGCGTCCCCGGTGAGCTCGCGGGCCGCGGGGGGGAGCGGGGGATGGGAGCAGAGGAAGAAACAAATCGGTGGACCCGTGGCGGTCTCTGCTTTGGTCATTCCCAACGGTTGTGGTTCTGTTGGCTTTTTTATTATTCCTGTCGCCGCGGCGCAATCGGGCCTGGGGAATAGATACGCCGGACGGAGCGGGGTTCACTTGACAGGCTCTGAAAAGCCACCGGCGAGTGACCCGAGCGGCCGTGGGGTGGGCTCCGCCTCGGGTTCATCAGGACGACGAGCTGGTAACTGTCCCGGGCGCCGGTCGTGGAGATGAGCTGGCGGGCGGGGGACTGGGGGCGGTGGCTTGGGCTGCGGCGGCTTGGGCTGCGGCGAAGGTCTGGGGCCTCGGAGGGCCGCGTGCCGGTGCCTGGATGTGGCCGGAGGGGGCGTCCCGGACACCGCGCGCCTGAGCTGAGGGTGTTTCTCTATTGATGGCAAAAGACCATCGGGAGGGGGGCAGTCCGAGCCCCTTATCTGGGCGGCGTTGGCTATGTTTGATTCCGCGAGTTTTCAGGGCTGGGGCTGGGGGGTGTGAGCCGGACCGGCAGTGTGGCGTGTAGAGGGGAGGGGAAGGCTGGCTGGCGGCGCCGCGTGCGTCCCCACCCCGAGGAGTGAGGCGTCGCCTCCCCCGCCTGGCTGTTTGTGTGTACACACGGCTCCGGTGTGTGTAGGGGGTGGCGGGCGGGAACCGCAGACAGCGGCGTAGTGGGGACGCGCGTGGGCCCGGATCCCCCGTGCGACCGATCCCTCCAGGCCCCCGGCGTCCTAGTCGGGGTCGTGTGTCCCGGTGCGCGTGCGCCCGAGTTACTTGGAGAGGGGACCGTGCGGCTGTGGGCCGGGAAGACCTTCGTGTTGCGTGTGCTGGTCCCCAGTGCAGGAGTCCCAGGCCCGCTGTGCGGCCGGAGTCACGCGGCCCCTCCCTCCGCGTCCGCGACGCCCCCTGACCCGACAGACTGGGAGTCCACCCTGCAGCGCGGGGGGGCTGGTTTGGCTGCGCCGCCCCCAGTCCACGCTGTGGTGACCCCGCACCGAGGCGTTCTGTGGGTGTGCGTGGCCGCGCTCGCCGCCCCTGGCTTCGCAGACCTGGGGGAGAGTCAGCGGCTGCCTCCCCAGGCCCCGCTCTTCAGTCTGAGGACAGTGGGAGCCCAAGGCGGCCTGGCAGCCCCAGCGC